TCATGAAAAGATATACGTAAGGGACTCTTTTTTAAAAAGCCCAATCAAACCATAATTTTGGTTAAAAAAAACTCAGCTAAATGTTTCTTGGCCAAATGGCCTTCAATTATAAAATAAAATAAATAAACAATATCAAATATCCAAAATGCCCTCACCATGGAAAATACCCAAACACACCTTTCAATCCAATTAAATTCCTCAATCCATCTCCAAAACACAAACGTCTCCCTGTGGTTGTTACCTAAAATCTTGTTATTTATTATATTCTTCACATTTCTTCTCCAATATTTTGAGCATTTGAATAAGAATTTTGATTTTCATATTATGTACATTGAAATCTCAACTATATTTGAAGAAAAAAGAAATGTATTTTTAGAAGTCTCATGTGTTTAGTTGGTGTTGCTTTCGTATTTAGCATGTTTTTTGTGTTGTCTGAATCTATTGAATGATGATAGCACTCTAATTGTTAACTAGAATATAGAACGACAGTCCAGCCGTTATATACTACGTAAAACTACAATACTATCATTATCTGCTGTAGTTTATTTTCAACAAAATGACCTCTAATAATGGACTTTCTTAACATATAACTCATAACAATTGACTATGTCACAAATAACGATTGATTTATATTATAAAAATGGTGAAAGCTCAAATTGTTCTACTCATATGTGTCGATTTGAGTATTTTACCTAAAAAATATAGAAATGATGTTCAAAAATTAAATATTATTTATTTGTATCAATTAATTTCAAAAAATACACGGCATCAATTATTTGTATTGTGTTTATATACGTAACGGCACTTGTGTTGTTTTCATAACAATAACGACACTTGTGCTGTTTTCATAACAGTAAAGACACTTGTGTTGTTCTCACTTTCATGTTGATTAAGTAATGAGCATATCTCTCGAATTTTGTAAACATCACGTCCATCTTGCAACTTAAATGGGTTCAATTTATCGAATACCGAGGCTCGGACGGTTCATGGCCGCTCATACTCCTGTTTATCGACAGAACGACACACGTGACCAATAACGGCACTTGTGTCGTTCTGTTGATTTTTTCAATATTTTGCCTCATTTCCATCGCAACGACCTTAAACATTGGACCCATACTTTAAGAAAATCAGAAATGTTGATTGTGTGACAAATAAC